ATTATTGCCCCTACCCTGATTTCTGGGGAAATGCCTTAAGCAAAGTTTAGATATGACTGATTCATGTCTAGATTTTCCCCTGCTACTCAATGTATAACTTGGTTTAGGGCAGCTATTTACTTTTATGAGCACAGCAATTGTCAAAGATTTTAAAGACTTATCAACACATGATAAGATGTATAGAAAAAATAAAATACTTGAAGAACCCTGGGTTCAAATACCAACTTTGCTAAGCTTTTACTACGTATGTGCCTTTGAACAACTGGCATAACTTCTCTTACCTCAGTTCCTCATTTATAATATAAAAGGCTTGGGCTGTATGGTCTATAAAGTCCTATCCAACTCATGTCTGAGAATTCATATCATTCTATATCTCGAATTCCTCATCCCTCTGTCAAAAGGGAGGAGAGGGAGTTTCTTTATCAGACTTTTAAAGTCAGGATTGTTTGCTGCTTTTATTAGCATTCTGAGGTCTTGCATAGTTGTTTCTCTTCATATTTTTGTAGTTGTCATATAAATTGCCCTCCTGATTCTGTTTGCTTCACTCTGTATCATTTCATATAAGTCTATCTGTTCAGCCATTTGCCAAATTTTTTCCAGTTCTTCTTTTCCATTATAAAAATATTTTTTATAAGTATTACTGTACACATGTATCCTTTCCCTCTCTCCTAGATTTCCTAGGTGCCTTGATAGTAGCAGTAGTGGTGCCCTTCTCAGAGAAGCATGCTCTTAAGCTAGTCACTTCCAACTGGGCTGCTGACACTCATTATAGTAGCTTTTAAACTCTCAAACTCACAGGATAGCTGCTGGGTCTGGGAAAGTCCACTGAACTCTGGCTTGTGCTCAGGGAAGAAAACTCTAGGAAAGAAAGAAAAAAGCAACAGGGAATCAGGCTCACCTATAGAAACTCATGTTCCAACTGTCAGGTTCTTGTGATAGCCATTGCTGAGGGGAGGTGAGAGAAATCCCTTTTCTCTTTTTTGCTGGAAGTCCAGGGTAAAAAACTCTGGAAAAATTCCCAACAAAGAAAGTTCCTAATGAGAGTGATGGCACTGTTTCGCAGCTCAGCCAAATATGGTCCAATCATGGGTTCACTAATGTGGGACTATCTGCTTCCTACTTCTGGATGCTCTACCTCTCAGTACAAATTGAGATTGCTGATTCATAAGAGTGTATCTTCTTGACTCTGTGACCAGTTATTTTTAATGCAGCCCCTGTCACTGGGAGCCAACCAGGACATCCCATCAAGGTGCCTGTTGCTCTGCAGAGAGCTAAATTGAATGTCTAGATACTGGAGGATTTCCTATGATCATCAATCTACAATTCATTTTAGTTAACTTTAGGAAGTACAGAGTTGGCTGAAGTGGGTTACTATCACAATAATTGAGGTCATGGGACCTTTATCACATGAGGTCCAGAGAAAAAATTGACTAGTGCACTGCTGTCACATTAATCAACATTCCTCTTAAAGTAACTGACATGACATGCATAGACACCTTAAAAACATCTTCCCTAGGAACATTCGATAATTGCTTTTTAGCACTACTTTTTTCTGAAGATGTGCCACTGTCTGGTATGTCTGAAATGCAGTCCATTCTCACTTCCAACTAGTGGAATACTTAGCTTCCTTCAAATAAAAACAGCCAAAAAAAAAAACCCAGCTCAAATTCTACCTTCTCTAGGAGGCTTTTACAGATTTCTCCAAATGTTAGATGCTATTATTAGCCCCATTGTGCAGATGAGGAAACTAAATCTGAGCAAACATAAGTGATTTACTCAGAGGTCCAAAGCTAGTAAGCAGGATTTGAATCCAGGTGTTTCTCCCTATAAGTCCAACATTCTTTCCACTCAGATACCCTGCTTCCTGTATGCCAGTGATCATGATGGTCTTCATTTTTTATACATTCTTCTTGTTGCATACTGTTGTGATTTTAGAGTGAAGTTAGTTTGATAGAATTCCAGCAGCTAATGGGAGACATTGCTAAGGTCTACTGGTCCCTCATGGGCATATGTGCCATGACACCATGACATTTGTCTTAAACAGAACTCATGTCTGAGTGCAATTGTCATAAAGAGACTAGATAGGTTAGCAGGTGATCAGGGAAACAGTGACACATTTAGATCCCAGAGAATCAATGATGTGTGGGTATTGAATGCTTCCTATCCATCAGAGGTAATTAGTATGTCTCTTCATTTTGCTTAAATTTCTCTTCTAACCAAATAAATAGTTATCAGGTGCCTGCTCTGTATAAGACTCTGTTCTAGTGGGAATACAAAGGCAAAATAAAAACCAACCCCTGTCCTCAGAGCTTTCATATTTCTGAAAACGTTTCTGGGGTGGCAGGCAGGTTATTGGGAAATGACAATAATGTAAAAATAAACATCATGAATAAATCTTTAAAAAAAAAGAAATAATGTGAAGTACCCAGCTGATGCTTTTCTTCAGGTTGTGGTTTTTTTCCTGCTTTTACTACACAAAATGAAATCAATTGGTCAACAAACATTTGATAAACTCCTATTATATGCCAAGATTTGTTGTAAGCACTGGGGATGCAGAGAAGGGCAAAAAGACACTCCCTGTTCCCAAGAAGCTCACAATCTAATGGGGGGAAACAAGCTACGTATTAACAGGATATATGCAGAGTAAATCAGAGAAAATCTCATAGGGAAGGAACTAAAATTAAGGACGAGGAAGAAAGTATCTTTTAGGAGTGGGAAATTGAGTACAGGTAGAATGCATAGTTTGGTTGTCCAGATTGATCACAGCAAGGTATTATATTTTCTTTTCCTTTTTAATGTTTTTCCTTGTTCATATGATCTTGATAAGCACCTATGTTGGCTTACTGTCTTTGTTAGAATATATTTGAGGAATATGATGATGAAAATCTTTTATTTTATTCATAAGTTTCCTTTTGATTTATTCACGTAAGCATCTTTGATTTCCTTCTATGTTTAGGGCTCTGTTCTATGTGCTCTTGGATATAAAAGGAGACCGAGATTAGACTTCTGTTCTTACAGTACATATAGTCTAATAAAGGACATAACACATACAAATAGCTATGACACAAGGTGCAATAAGAGAATTACAAAGTACTGGGGAAAAGGCAAAGGGAAGAGAGGTTACTGGGGACATATAATTGATATAGCTTTAAAAAAGAATTGGAAATTGAAAGGATGCCCATCAATTGGGGAATGGCTGAACAAGTTGTGGTATATTATTGTGATGGAATACTGTTGTACTATAGGAAATTCTGAGTGAGATGCTTTCAGAAAAACCTGGGAAGATTTACATGAACTGATGCAAAGTGAAGTGTGAGCAGAACTAAGAGAACACTGTATACAGTAACAGGAATATTGTATGGTGGTGAACTGTAAATTACTAGGCTATTCTCAGAAATGCAAACATTGAACACAATTCTGAAGGACCTATGATGAAAAATGCTATCTGCCTTCTGAAAAAGAACTGATGGAATCAAATGCAGATCAAAGCATATTGGGTTTTTTGCTTTCTTTATTTTTCTTGTATTTTTTGTCTGTATTTGCTTTCACATGACTAATATGGAACTATGTTTTACATGACTGTAGATGTATGACCTTTATCAAATTGTTTTCTCAATGAGGGGGGAGGGGAGGGAATGTGGGAGATAATTTGGAACTCAAAATTGTAAAAAAAAAAAAAGCTTAATTCTTTTTTACATGTAAATGGAAAAAATAAACTTCAAAACAGACAAACAAAAAGAAACACAAGTTTTGAGGCTGTGTGGCAGGGAGAATCAAGATAGGAGTTGAAGAAAAAGATTTTAGTTTTGTATATGTTGACTTTGAAGTAAACAATATTAATCCATTTCTCTAGCAGACATGTAGAAAATGTGGGTCTGAAGAATGAGGAAATGTTTGTAGCCAAAGCTAAGGATTTGGATGTTACATGTATGGAGGTGATATTTGGAACTATGGAACTAGATGAGATTAATAGGCAAGGGAACGGTAGATAGGCAAAAAGAAGGGCCAGCAACAGAATATGGGGAAATGTCACCTTGTAGGGATTAGGAAGAGGAAGAAAAGAGAAGGAAAGAAATAATAAGAGTGACAGGGGATATAGGAGGAAAGCCATAAGGGTGCTATATCACAGACACAGAAGGAAGAGTTTCAAGGAAGTGATTAGCAGTTTCACATAAAGCAAAGAAGTTGCAGAAGGCTAATAGAATTTTGCATTTAGGAGGTCATTAATAACCTTTAAGAGAATTAATTCATTGGAAGCAGAGCAGAGACTTGGGTTGCAAAGGATTGAAAACTGGGTGTTGAGGAAATAGACTATAAAAGATGAAGAGAGAAGTAAATAGGGGGAGGGAGGAAAGAGGGAGAGAAGACAGGGAGAGGAAGAGGGAACACAAATAGTAACCTAAGCAGTTGGCAGAGCCTAAAGTTTTGTTTTGTTTTTTGAATGACAGAAAAGACATCAGCATGTTTGTAGACAGAAAAGAAGCAGTGTAGGATACATTCAAGGTAATAGAGACAGATGTAAGAGGTAGCTAGGTAGTACAGTGGATAGAGTTCTGGAGATCCAAGAAGATCCAAGTTTAAATTTAGCTTCATACCAGCTGTGTGACTCTGAGCAAGTCACTAAACCTTTGTCTGCCTCAGTTTCCTCAACTGTAAAATGGAGATAATAAATAGTACCAATCTCACAGGGCTCTTGTGAGGATCGAATGGCATAATATTTGCAAGTGCTTTGCGAATTTTAGAGTACTATATAAATGCTAACATTATTGTTATTATTGAAGGGAGAGCTAATGAAGCAAGGACCTAATGAAGCCAAGGAAAAGTTCATAATGTAGCTAGCACTACAACTCTAGATTCCGTAAAAACTCATCTATCATATATGTAGATGACGACAAGACTTGAAGAAGTAATGAATAATTTTATTTCTTGTAGTGTTCCTTTTAGGCGTGTATGATTTTGGAAACTTTGGTTGACTGTGATTTTACTTTTTTTTTTTAAAGGTACTGGTGAGAGTGGGAAAAGCACCTTTATCAAACAAATGAGGATTATTCATGGGTCTGGTTACTCAGATGAAGACAGAAAAGGCTTCACAAAACTGGTTTATCAAAATATATTTACTGCTATGCAAGCAATGATCAGAGCCATGGACACTTTACATATACAATATGTGTCTGAGCAGAACAAGGTAAGGTAAAAGGTGTTCGCCTTGTTAGCTAAGAGATGTGTTTTAACTCTTTCGTTGCACATATTCCAAACATGGAGACTTACATTATTGTTATAATATTCTGGAAAAAAAGGTTCTCAAGCATATGATGTTTTTATATACTCCATGAGAGTATGGCAGCTTTGGCTTCCTTTTCTAGCTCTGATCACATGAATATAATTGGCTCTGTTAGGTTATTATTGTTAAGATTACAACAAGACAGGCAGTTATGCTTGGTGTGACTTCTGAATTTTCCTAGGCTACAGAATAACCAAATGCCTTGACTTGAACAGTTGTTCTGATTACAGTAAGCCTTGTCAGATGAAAGAGGTTTTGTGGATAAAAAGACTGTGTTCAAGAATTCTGCTTCTTACGAAATGTCTGTTTATGCTACTATTTTGTAGCACGCATAGAACAAATGATTGGGTTGTGTATGTATATAATTTGGGAGTAGACAGCATACCTGTCCATGTTGTTCAGCCCATTCTGCTGAGCTGATCAAGGGCCCCTTTTTGTGGGAAGGGAGCAAGAATAGAGGACATCTCAGAATGAAGTGATAGTTTATGATAATTATATTGATGCCTCAGCTAGCAATACCTTGTAATAAGACAATGTCATCTAGTCAGAATTTGCTTTCCTATCACTAACACTTATTTAAAATACAAATCTATTTTAGACAACAGGAAAAAATAGTGGTGCAGGTACCAGGTGAAGGTACTAAAAAATTTTACAGCACATTAGAAAAAAAAACCAAACTCATGGGGAGGTGATGTAAGATGCCAGCTTCCCTGAGAATCTAGAAGTCAGATTTATTTCAATTGAGAGGGACTTGACTATGATGATCTCTTCCAAAGAGGGAATTTGTTGGTACAGTGGGTTGAGTGGTAGAATTATAGTCAGGAAGACCTGATTTCAAATTCTGCCTTAGTCTCTTGATATCTTTGTGACCCTGGATAAATCATTTGACCTCTTTAAGCCTCAGTTTCCTCACTGCAAGATAGGGAAAATACTATCACCTACCTCACACAGGGTCGCTGTTAGGATCAAACGATATAATACTTGTGAAGTCCTTTACAGGTCTTAAAGTACAATATAAATGCTAGGTATTATTTTTGTCATTAATTCTGTATTAAAAGGATTTAGCTTGAATTCAATCCGAGAGATTTTAGTTATTGACCAAAGGATCTCATTATAAGATAGGTACCTACAGAATAGATCCTGACACATCATTAAGGTCCCTGGGCTTCACTATAAATATGCATTTCTTTTAAGCCTTAAAATTACGTTAACTTTAGACATCAGGCATCATACATCAGATGTATCAGGACATTTTTGGGTTGTTTCTCCCTCCATTAAGAGCATCTTTTGTCCATCTGTTGTAACTGGAATGGTCTTAGAATGCTTTGACCTGGAGGTTTTATTTGAAGATGAGTTGTGGTCTCTTTTAAAGAAAATAAGTAGAAACCCACTGTTGTAAAAGACAACATGACTTTGTGAATACTAAAGAGATTCAGGAGTCAAAAACTCTAAATTTTTTATACCAGGCCCCTTCTTAGCACTCTGAGTTTCTAGGAAGGATTTATGTGGTTTGGTCTTCCACAGTTTTCTGCACTCTAAATCTTTCATTGTCCCCTACTTCTGACATCTTCAGTCAGTTGCATCTTCCTTCTTTCTCTCTGTCTCTTACCAAACATCTTGCATATTTGTGTGCATTCTTCCATTTCATATCAAATGTGAAGAACCCTCTCCTTTTACTCCTCTCAAAATATATATTTGCTCTAAATGCATACTGCAACATTTATGAGAAAGAATACCCTGGAAAGAGCACTGGACTAGAAATCAGGATACTGATTTCTAGTTGAGACTCTATGACTAACTGGCCATGCGACGTTGGGAGATTCTCTTTGTCTCCTTAACTAGATGGGGCAGTGGATAGAGCGCTGGACCTAGTATTAGGAAGAACTGTGTTCAAATACTGCCTCAGACACTCGTGAGCTGTGAGACCATGGGCAAGTTGTTTAACTTCTGTCTGCTGTTTGCTCACTTGTAAAATCAAGATAATAATATCACCTACCCCTCCTAAGGTTACTGTGAGGATCAAATGGGATATTTGTAAAGCACCTACCACAGTACCTGGTGTATAGTAGATGCTCAATAAATTCCTTCCTCTCCCCCATCCTCCATCCCTACCTCCCTCCATTCTTTCTTTTATTCCATTCTTTCCTTACCTGCCCTTGTTCCTCTTCTCTTCCTCCATAGTCATATTCCTTATATATTAAAAGGGGATAACTATTCCCTTGTCTACTTTACTAGTTTTCTGTGGGACTCAAATGAAATTGTGTATGCAAAAATTCTTTGAATACCATAAAGTGCTATAAAAAAGCAAGGAGGTATTATTATGGTTATTTGATATTAAATAATAGAAAAGAAAGTTTACTAAATGCCACTTCAACCTTCATGCCTCTCTTATATTACGTTAATGAAGTTGACTTTTTCAAACACAACTGTAGAACTTGATGCTTCTCCCTATACAAATCTCATCTTGCTCATTTTTGTCCATTGTTTCAGCCTGTTAAGATACTTTTGGATTCAGACTCTCTATCATCTTATATGTTAGCTATTCCTTCATGTTCTCAGAAAATGTAATTACACCTATGTCTTTATCCAAATCACTGATAAAAATGTTGTACAGCACTTATCTAAGCACAGATCACTTAGGTACTTCATCAGTGACCTCCTTCCAAGAGGTCATCAACCCATTAATGACTTTTTAGGTCTAGCCATTCAATAAGTTTCAAATCCACCTAACAATAGTCCATATCCCCATCAAATCCATAGGTATAGCATGAAAAATTGTGAAATAATTTGCTGAAATCTAAATGTATTTGGTCTACAGAATTGCCCTCATCTACTAGTTACTTTATCAAAAAAAAGTTAGTCTAGTGTGACTTCCTGATGATGTTATATTGGCTTTTAGTGATCACTGCTTCCCTTTATAAATGTTCACAAACTTCCTTTTAATCATGTATTTTAGAATCTTGCCAGAAAATGAATGAAATCTATTTGGAGCAGGGAACTGAAGAATGAGTAAGAATTGGACAGTTGGAGTTGAGAACAACTTGGAGGTGAACCAAAAGGTGGAGAATGAGGGCAGCATAAGATTAACAAATGCAGTGATGTAACTAAGGGTAGGGAAGAGAAAAAACCTGCCTGATTTTGAAGTAGATTCTAAATCAGAGAGCTGTGGGAAACTAAGATTGGTGACCTAAGAAAATTAGAGAGGGAATATTGGTCACGTAGAAAATCTAGCAGATAAATTTGGCCTTGATGGGGTAAAGAGTAAGGGATAAATAATAGAGCATCATTTGTAGAGGCATACTATGATAAAAAAAACATGTGGTTATGGAGGAATGGAAGTAGGGGGAATGTATACAAAAGGTTAAGTCTTAGAGATAGATTGAAGGAGGAAACAATAGGATTAGGAGACATTGTGTTCAAGGAAGGAAGAAAAGGGAAGAGGTATATTTAAGATTTGCGGGCTGATGTTCTAAAAAATGGTAACAAAATGGAAAATCTGGGAAAGGGAATTGAGTTGGGGAAGAAATTATGAGCTCATATATATTTATGGATTTGTGAAGTTTGAGATTGTGGTGGAACTTCTAAGGTGGAGATATTTTGTTAGAAGGTTGGAAATGTGGGTTTAGATTACAGTTGGGAGTCAGAGCAAGAGGCTAAGGAAAGTTATTAGCATAAATGTTAACATTTGAAACTCTTTCGTATACAAGGTCTCCTAGGGAATGAATAGGGAGGGAGAAGAGCGGTACTCATACTCTACCAGAACATTCTCCTAATGGCCTCTCTTCTCCACTGAAGTCTCTTGATTCCTTAAACCACCTTAGACTCTGTCTAAGAAAAAGGATAGGCCAGGGGTTTTGATTCCCAGGTTATTATGTACACATACATACATACATACATACACACACACATATATGTATATGTGTATATATGTATATATATGTATACATATATATGTATGTATATTACAATATATGTAATATATAATAATAGTGGGGTAATTAATTGGGGAAATAGGCTCTTCTTTCTGTGGCTTTAGGAGTGAGATACTTATCTCAAAAAATAGGATAGGTTTTGTAATGACTCTCTTCTCAACTGACTTTTATAACAAGAAACAAAAAAGGAAGACGGACCTGCATAGGCTACTGAGAAATCTCATTTGGGATAACTGTCTCATCCCATTGCTGTGAAGTGGGCAGCAAGAGCTTAATAACCAGCTGGATTGGGGTGAGTGTTTATAAGGTCTAATCAGAGATTAATTAGATTAATCCTTAATCAGAAATTCCAAAGTAGGTATAGGGAATGGGGGGAAAGGGAGCCAAGATGCCAAGCTGAGGGAATAGATAAAAACAAATGCCAAGATATGAACCAGGTTATAAGCAAGGTGACTCAAATAATGCACTTTTGGATTACAAGAAAGAGCCAGGATAGAAGTCAGCACTCTTCCAATCAAGAATCATTTGAGAAGTGCAGAGAATAAGAAACTCAGGAGCAGTTCTTAGGAAGGAAAAATGCTGGTTACCCACAATTTGTGCTCTAGCGAAAGTTCCTTTTACCAGAGAGCCCTACTCTGTCTTAGCCCCACTATCTTTAACTTAATAGCAAGTGGAAATTTGGGATAGAGTGCTGGCCCTGGAATCAAGGAAGACTTATCTTCCTGAGCTCAAATCCAGCCTCAGACACTTACCAGCTATGTGACCCTGGGCAAGTCATTTAATCCTGTTTGCCTCAGTTTCCTCATCTGTAAAAAATGAGCTGGAGAAGGAAATGGCAAACCATTCCAGTATCTCTGCCAAGAAAACCCCAAAATGGGGTCACAAGAAGTTGGATGTGACTGAAACAACTCAACAACAACAAAAGCTAGATCCAGTTTTCCTATCCCAATCTTACCTTTATTTCTGGATTTA